CAGGTGCTGGACACCCCTTACTTGTTTTTCACAAACGTATCCAGTATAGTACTTTGAAGAAATGTGCAAACAAGACCTCTGGCCCTGAGCTGGGCTTCACAGAGATGTTTACATTTTTAAGATAAGTTACCGGGCTGGGGATGTGGTAACAGCTGGCAGAGGGAGGAAAGAAAGGGGAAAAGAAGGGGCTGGAGATGTGGCTCAAGTGGTATCGAGCTCGCCTGGCATGCGTGCGGCCTGGGTTCGATCCTCAGTACCACATACAAACAAGGATGTTGTGTACGCCGAAAACTAAAAAAAAAACCAAACAAACATTTAAAAAAAAAAAAAGAGAAGAAGCTCTCTCCTTCTCAGGTGCTGTCCTTGAAGGGTTAACTTGCCCAAAACAGTGAAAGAAAAAGCTGCTTTTATGTGAACTTCTGCAGACTGTGAACTTCTGAGCCCCTCCCCTTACACGCTGGGTATAAAACTCTGAAACTCTCTGAACTGGAGGTTCAGGGGATTGATTGATTACAGCAAAAGCTGTGCCCTCTAAACCTGGCTGCAGCCAAATGAAACTGTTTCCTGCTATCTTTGCTGCCTTGCCTTGGTTGTCCCTACAACACTTGTATTTAAAAATGATGTCTTCCACATGCAACAATCTGATATGCTCCAGGTGATGAATCGAAGAATGGTAAGTGGAGATCAAATTTTGAGTAGTCAAGTTGTACAGCTGCTTTGAGTCAGTTGAATGCCACTGCTGCCACAGGAGGGTCTACTTAGTTTTATTTGTGTTGTTTTTACTTACAGATTAATTTAAAGCAATAGTGGACTATTGATTCAAGAACGCATAGAGAAGACTATTACAATAACTCATCATCTCAACATACATATGCCTGACCATGTGCAGGATGTTAAAAAAGAAAAAGTATGAAATCAAACTTTGCAACCAAATGAGAAATCTACAATTACTATTCCAATCATTTTTGTATCTGATCCTTAATGCGTTCTCTGCTATCTAGAATTCTGAAATCTTTTCTAATGAAAAATGTCTTCACGTTATGAATCTGTGAAGTTCACATGGAGGAGCAGAACACTCAGTCTTTCTCCAATCTGGTAAGATTGTATACTCCTGTGTTTCACAGCCAGGCCTTACCCCAGATGGTGAGGATGTTATGTGCTCTACACTGTATACACTTTACTATTCTAAAATCCAAACATTTATGAATTTTGAAGGTTCTGAACAAGAGATTAGGGTTGTATGTATGTTTCTGAAAATAAAAAGGATGCATAACACATTTGATATTTCACATGTTTAACAGTTAACATTTATTCAGAAATCATGCTTTTTTACAATCATACTAAATATTGTACTTAATGTGCTAAAAGTATGCAATTACATTAAGGTATGTCTCATGAATCAGTTTTCCACAGTATACTTATTCGAAACAAAAATGTTAGTAAACATGATTATTTAACATGTCACACTAGCCAGTTCAACATTTTCCTGTGGCCCAAAGAAGACAAGACACCTCAGGAAAAAAATAGCAGGCAATCATCTATGAGAAAGACAAAAGAGTACTGTGTTGCTCTGGAAGGACATGGAAGATGTGCATACAGCAGGTTTTGATCAGCAACAGACTTGGGCTTTCCCTTCCTGGACATGGGTACCTCTGCCAAATGTGAAAAAGACTCAGTTACTCATTAAATGAGCAGCAAGCCCAGGTCAGGATGTGTTCCATCTACAAGAAAAACCCAAGGAAATACTATCAGAACAAAAGACACTGCATGACCTCTGAGTAACCACTAATATGCAAAAATCAGCCCAACACAACAGTTAAGATGAACATGTACAGCATAACAGTGGTCCCCCCC